TGTTGAATTTAATGTAACTTATTAATGGTTTTATTGAAAGTTAGTTTTATGTAAATACATTATTAAAATACCAGTTGCAAAACATTGAAACTGCAAATAAGGACCAATAAACATTATTTTAACTATATTATAACAATCCCCTATAATATTTTAAATAATAACAAATATTTTTCATAGTGTACAAAAAAGTAATACCTACTAAATTGTTATGTTTTATATGTCGACAAATAAGTTCTGGGTCAACTTACACCCAGTGTGTAATCTAACTCGCACAACTATACTGGTGGTTCACCTCGCTGTATCTTTTTATCGCTTTTAATATTTTATTATACCGTAGTTTGTTTTATTTTAATTATACCGTTACAACAAAATACTTAATACAAATATTCTATTACCATTCTCGTGTGTGGAAACACGCGCGTATAAAATTGCTAGCGTATAAAATTACGGTTGTTAAAAAAAAATCAATAATATTGAACTATGCAGTTTTTAAACAAAATAAAAAATAATAGGACCTGTAAATACTTCTTTCTATAAACATGGTATAATGTATGGCTACATCAAGAAAAAAATTATGAACCCGAGTTCATAGCATAATTAAATTTATACCATAAGCGTGCGTACGGGACATGCAGGATGTGAAGCTGCATACTCTGTAGGTATTTAGAAAAGCCAAAATTATACAAAATATAGATATTTATAGTCGAAAACTATCTTATTTTTTAATTATTAATTCTTTTTTAATGCGACTATGATTTTGAAATGTTTTTTCTTTCCTATGACCATTAGTGACGAGTACCCAATTACTGTTATAGGCTATGGAGCCCAATTTGAATTACGGTTGCATACTCTCCGATTAATGCTGCGCGCGCTTATGCTCAATATACCAAATGATTAGTTCTTTCAACTAGACTTTAGTTGGGACAACTTGAGTTTAAAACTTAGCCTAAATCGTACGCCGTAGATGGTCGGTGGACGAAATGTATAATAATTAAAACTAAAATATGAAAAAAAAACACAACAAAAACGTGCGCTGACGGGAGATGGTACAATGTGTAATATTTATCTTTGACGATATTTCGTCGCATTGTGCAGGTCACCCACGCAACTGACCGCATGGCCGTCGCCTAGGTTTATCGTCCAACTGTTTCTTTATTACAATATACAATGCCTTCACAACAACGCCTCCTACTTCTGTCAAGCTACCGCTCGTGTAGGTTTGGCCCACCGCATAATCACAATAAAAATAATACATATTTATATTATTATTATAATATATCACGGTCGCTACTTCACGACATCATTGTCGTCTCCACACTGAAGCCAACAGCGGTTTTCGGGGGACAAATTCCCCACCCCCATCTACCATCCGGCCAAAAGCATACACACACCATCGTCCGAACTTCTATTAACCCGTCAACACCCTTAAATAAATAATAGGTATACAACATTAAATATTACTTGTGTTATCAGATTATCCGTTTGTCCTTATCCGCTCTCGTCTCTTTTATCCCATAAAACGTTCTTATGCTTTCTTATTTTTATGTATACATTTTTTTTTCATATTCATGTAAGTATATATTGTATAGACTGGACATAATACATACGCAGCTTCGAACGTCCGATCCTAATATTCCACATGTCATATTATAGTAACACGAATTATGTATGCAATGTTGTGTTTTATTTTTCGAAAAGTGGTCAAGTCCCGAGTACTAAGAATTTTTTTTTATTATTTTTTATTTAAGAGAAGTCGAATCAAACGTAGTATCGTTAACGTGTGCCGTTACTAAAATGTAAAAAAAATAGATTTTAATCTAGTGGAAATGCTGGGTTTCGCTTTCTTTACGATTTAATGCACACCCGTTATTTAGTACTTATTTTTTAGACGGTCGTAAAATGTTCGGCTAATGATTCGAACAATGACAAAACTTAACGTTACTTTTCGCCACGGAATCAACACTCAGCGTTTTCCAGCCAATTCATATACCATCTTACTGAAGTTCTTAGGCGAAGTCGTACCTAACTGGTAACTGATTACAATTAGCCTTCGACGAGTATATTTATTGAGCCAATATATTCTCGGCTTTGCATCGCAGCTAATGTATAAATATAATAAATATTTTATTTCCTACTAGATAATTAATTAAGTGGCATTGGCACCATAGTCTATAGGTAATACCAATAGATGCGCGACCCGCGTTGATTTGAATAGGAACCCATCAAACGTTATTTACATTTGTTGTGTTTCATTATTGTATATGTATGCAGCCGTATAGGCTTCTTCATTTAATCAAAACTCTATTCATCGAGTTTGTTTTCTTTATTATAAAGCATACATTATTAGGTAGCTGAACACTTGTGCTAGAATTAATTAGACCAATCCATTTTTAACGACTGACGCCAGTCAAATATTTTATAAGTATGTATATCATCATTATCAATAATAAAACAGAGTATTAAAAAGAATACCATTATACGTCTAATGGTTTTCATAATTAACAATCGTCGCATAGCGTATATTATAAAATATAACACTCAATATTAATTTTATACGAACCAACAATATAATTGAAATTGAACAACGTTATTAGTCAGATATTATTTGTAATCAATTGCAATCAATATGGCATTCAGGATAGTAACCTCACATAGTCGGTAAGTATTATATAAAATACATAGATATGTGTCCAACAAGGTGATTACCCTTATATTGTTGTTAGAGTAGTAGATGATTTAGTAAATGTAAAAATGTAAGATGCTACCTAACTAGTTACTAATTATTTCAACTTTAAAAAAAGCTAAGCAGTTCATTGATTGAACTGCTTAGCTTTTTTAAATTGAACTTCAATCTAAAAAACAAAATAGTTTAGTATTATTTACCTTTGATTATTAGCATTAAATATTGTCATGGTTAATTAGGAATCAAAAACCTGTTAACACTTTTTTTAAACATTATTGTTGCGTAACAAAGGTTTTCTAACAGTTTTATCAAAGATAGTAATGTAGTTTTATTATTTTTTAAATAAACTATAAAAAAAATATAAAACTGCCGCCATGAAACAATATGTTTAAAAAAACATTTTGTAATATCAAAAGCAAACCATTTAAGATTTGTAATAAGTACATTGTTTAACTCTTCAGACTAAAAAATGTATATTTTTATAATTAATAATTTGTTCTTTTTTTTTTAATATTCCTGTGGAGACTTTAGCTTTAAGTTTTTGTCAAGAATATAATATTTTGTTTTGTAAAAATACTAAAAGAGTGCGTTAATTACAACGACCGGTAATCACGAACATTTTTAAGAGCATTAAACCATTCGAAAATGTAAGTATACGCTCAAGTCGCCCTAAAAATATAGCAACATAAATGAATAAACACCAAAATCATTGACAAATGACACACAGTCGTCCGATACAGTTAAATGTAATATTAAGTGTAACAATAACCAAACAACAGTGGATTATTGTATAATATTGTTTAAGCTGAATTATTAATGTAAATATAAGTATTACAAAACCCTTACACATTTCCCACGTACTAAAATTGAACCTTGCTCTATTCGGCTTCCGTTTATACAGATATTAGGTAATAAAACATTCAAAAGTAACCCGTTAAAAGTCATGCATGAATTGTTTTAAGTGGTTTTTTTAAGTTTAAACTAACCGCAGTTGATACAATAAAATGTATTATTCAAAAAAGTATCGGATAACCCTTTTCAGGTAATGTTTAAATTAGTTGTGTGTCGTTTCGTTCACAATATTCACCTAAAGAACCCAAAATTATAATCACATAATAAAAAGCATCGTCTTTTACTTGTTATTATTATTCTACAATATGTACGTAAAACGAGTGGTCCAACAATATACGTTTGGATAAGTACTCACTACTTATATAAGTATACTGTATATAAATTATAATAGTGCTATTCAGACTGTCCAAACCGCTGTATTAGAATCCCAGGTACTGTTTGGGCGTGTTAAATATTTTCGATTTAACAGATAATAATATTGCGTCGGCTCTTGTGTGAGACTATAAATAATTATTATCTAAAGCTTTATGTATATGAAGGCGTGTGCTATAATATTATTAAGGTGATAATATTATAAAACCCTATAAACGCATGTGTGCATCACACAAACGATTCATATAAATCACCTCCTATAATTTGGGTCGGTACCTATACCTGTATATTGGGATAGAGTTCCGATTAATCGTGAAATTCCTTAGATTAATTAAAACGAACTGGTCTAACCTCCTTAGTGTTTCTATAGATCTAAATAACACTATAAAATATAACATATTATATCCTGATCAAAAAAGCCATTACATTATTAAAGCTATTGGTGAAGGAATCAAATTATATTAAAAGGATTCTGAAGAAAAGCATGTGTATAACTGTTGTAAGTTATAATTTGTAACAACAATAAAACAAATATTTATTAATAACTAGTATCTTATATATTTTAACTTAACGTATATTGCGACTCATAGTTTTTACAATTAAATATAAACAAATTTTCCGATTTTTTACACGTATAGTACACAAATGTATTTATCGAAGTAGAAATAACGGTCCACTAATGAGAAATAATACGAGTTTTAGGATTATAATCTGTCAAAGTAATTTTTGATAATAAATAATAAATAATTATAAAATAAATAATATCCTCATCCATATTCGTATTTTTAAAATAAATAATATATTTTCTTTTTCGTTGCCAAAAAAAATTGGTTATCGAACATTTATATGTGGTTAAAAGTATCTTGCATTTCATAGTCTTAAATCTTAATGTGATATTCCTTACAACTGGTATACCTCAGTTGTATAATCAATTTGTTGTTCAATCAAACATTTGTTTGCACAGTGCAAATTGTAATTAATTAAATGGTTTTCAATTTAAATAATTGTTTCTTTCACCAGCACTGTTGACTTAAATTTTATTCATTTTTTAAATACGCAAGTACAGTATTATTTTTATTTTCACAATTTGTATTATACATATAGCGCACTCTAGGTGTTTACGGAAGTCAATGAATCCTAGCGTTGATCAAGTAATTTTATTTGTTAAACATACATTCCATAAGTACTGAAACTAAAACCTACTTTATAAATACGTTTTACACTTCTACATCATAGTAAATATTTATAACATCATTCATAACATAATTGTTAATAAATTCAAATAAAGCCTGTAGGGGTGTCACTTTCAAAACCCCGGTTTACAAAAAAATAATTTAAATTACATTTTTTAAGTTTTGAAAAATGCAATATTATTTATTAATTAATAAATTATATAATATGGTAATTTGTATGATTGTACATAGTTATATTATAGTAAATTGAAATAAAGTACAAACAAAAATGTGTTTATAACTTATGAAATTCAATTTTTTGTTTTTGAATTTTTTAGATTTTTTCATTCGCTTTAGAAATTTCAATACATTTTTCATCGAACATTTTTAATTAATAAATATATCTACACATTTTATCTAAAATTAGTATTAATAAGATAATGATCATCATACCAGATACTTAATATTTAAAGCAATATACAAATAATTAACAAAATTATACACAAGTCTAACACTCTTATATTAAGATTAACTCATTATTTTTAATAAAAAAACCTTAAGTTAGTATTTAAAAATTGTACATGATATGTAGATTTAAAATGAAGGGGAAAAGTCTTACTGGTGGAAGAGGATTCTCGACGAATTAAAACTGGAATAGTCGGAAGCTAGGTAATTGTTTGGAATTTAACAAATTTACTCTAACAAAAATATTAATTTTTTATTATATTGAAATATAGTAAATAGTTGTAATATATTTTAAGTTTCAAAGCAATTAGCCAAGTTATCGATCAAGTCATTTAATTTAATTGGTAGAATAACTAAATTAAATAATATCGGCGCGGCGTCGGTTACTAATTTATAAGTTTAATTTTCTGTGTTTATTATTATTATTATTATTTCTATAGGTAACAACGCAATAAATATTGGTGACCTTTATACCTTATCTCATTGCATGCTCGAGTACATTAAATTGTATACTTTTAAACTGGATAAGGTACCCTAACCTGAAGGCTGTGACAAAATATATTTTAACCTAACCCAAAAATGATAGCAACGATGACAAATATAATAAAAAATATTTAAGTTAATTAATATATTTTTAAAGCACATAAAATATTTAGCTGTGTAACAAGAAACAACCAAACGAATATCATTTAAAAAATACCACAATAGATATTATTAACTACAATATTCGAATTAAAAAAAACAATTATTCCATCCATTAATATTAAAACCAAAATTAAATCATTATGAATTATGGGGTAAAAAGAATCAAAAAGAATCAAAAGAAAAATATATAAATGTATTTTAAACCGTCCCTTCCATCCTGACAACTACAATAGGTTTTATTAATTATAATTAATAATATTATATAATATTTTTTTTTATAATGTCAGACAATATAAAGCAGAAACAACACAGCCGAATTTAGGCCCAAAAAGGACACCGTCATCAAAAAATGTTGGTATCCCTTAAATATGATACAATTATACCTATTAATCTTACAATTAATACATTTAGTAATAAAATAAAAATGTCTTTTTCAGCCCAATAATAAAATAGAGCATTTTAAAAAACATAGATGATGAAAGTACATTTCTGTATCTTCAGAAGGTAATCTTCTCGAATACAACACTATTTCTTAAAAGTTATATACAATTTCTTTTATCAAATTAAATAATGAAAAAAAAATGTTTCTTCAATAGTATAAAAAATAAAGTTAACATTCTTAAAAAATCAAATAACATCAGTACATCAATTTTTTATTTTAGTCCGTTTTTTTTTTCCAAAATTTATTTATTAATTTTTTCCCTACTTTCCACATTAGAACAGTAATAATTATTCTAACAATGATCACTAGGAACAAGCCATCAAGCAATAGGAATTCATACCAGATTAATTCACTCGCTTCACTTTTTAAGTGATAAGCGCCATTGTGTCGTACAATATACTCGATCCAGTATATTGCTTTTTCCAATGACTTAAACGGTTGATCGTGAAAAATGCTTGACAGTCTCATTGCGTTGTCTTTGTATCTGTAAACCATAATGTTAAATTATTTGTAATTTGAAAAAAATAGTCAAAACGTAAATGTATTTATGATTTTAACACAAATAACTATACAACAAAAAATATATAAGAAAACTTAATTGATTTCCTATTTTTATAAATTGATATGTAAAATATTAAATTACAATTTAACCTTATTGACAATAACCTCTCAATTGCGTTTTAAAACTAAAATATTTAGTATTTCATAATTTTTTTATAAATCTTGTTTAATTTATAGCTTAAAACGACGTTACCATCCCATTTATTAAGGAAAAATATACAGCGTGATTCATGTAGAATAAGACACTTATTTTCTCTTAAAGTATAGTAATTTTGTTGTTTTTCTTTTTAGAGACACTAGTTTTTTTAACAATATTTTAAAAAAACTAAATATTTACCTTCTATAGTATTTTTTAGAGCTCTATCAACTTCTGAAACTTAAATGGTAACGTACGAATTTAATCAACTTTGTAAATTAAGAATAATTTTCTGAAAATTATGACTGATCGGTTACAAGTTTTGGATAATTACTTTTAAAGTTAATATTACTATAATTAACAATTAAAGATGCAAACTTTTTTATTAAATAATTCTAAGTTATTAAAGTTTAAAATTTAGGATTTAATTTAGGAATTTAAATTTTAAAGTTGATAGAGTTCTGGGAAAAAATTAAAAATTAGAATATTGTCTATAATTGTGAAATACCATACTAACATGTCTCCAAAAACAAATCTACAAAATTGCGATTATTTTAAGAGAAAATGAATGTCCTATCCTTAATAACTCACGCTGTATAGAGAATTTTTCGCAAAATCTTTATTTAAATTTTAAACCATAGTGTAAAGTTATGAATACCGTAATAAGGATTCTTTATTGGTTTTATTTTGTCAGACTATTACAGTAATTTTGATAGAAATTATTAAAAATTTTTCCAGTAAATAAAAAACTGTATCTGTGCTTAAGCGTTTTAAAATGTCCAGTAACTCAATCCACTAATTTTAAATAATTTTTTTAAAAAATACTAAAAATCTTAACTTAAAAAATGTATAAAAAATAAAAGTAATCGATTTATCTAAATCTCGTCACGCTTAAGCATAAATCGTATTCATCTCCAATTTTCTATGAAAATTTTCTGGTTTTTGTAATTACACATCCTCTACAGTATTATTTGCTTAAATTTTAGTTTAATATAAATAAAAAGAAAAACCAGATAAAAACTATGGACCAAATTTTGACCATTCTTTGCTACAATTTATAGATAAGAATATTTAATAGCATAGTTAATTTTTTTTAGATTTTAGATTTTAATTAAAATGAATGATTAAGTTTTAGAAATAAATTAAAACGATGATTTCATAAACATATTTAAATTGAGCGTTTTTGTGATTTTCTTTCCTACGCCACTTAAAATCTAAAACTTTTTATAATGCCAGGTAGATATAACATAAAATAACTTACAACTTGTTGTTCAGCATTTTATTCAAGCTGTCTGCAAATATCTGTTCAGTAAATTCAGAATATTTAATACGTATTGCAGCTCCCCTGTCTTGCATTACTAATGAATTATGCAACTGATCTCCAAATAATGATATGGCTAACATTGGTACACCGAAATAAATGGCTTCTTCAGTACTGTGTATTCCACCATGAGTAATAAATAGTATACAGTTCGGATGACTTAAAATATCAGCTTGTGGAAACCATTTTCTTGTAATTACATTTTGAGGAAAGTTCGGATGTTCATCTGATTCCCATTTCCATAATACTTTCTGTTTAATTGAACTAAACTGTCGAATAAATATTTCCAACTCATCTTTTGGTAATTGAGAGAGTCTTATCAATGAACCAAAACTAAAGTATATGACTCCTTCGGGGGAGTTATCCATAATATCTTGCAAATCCTAAACATCAATTAAAATAATAATATTAATACTAATAATAAAATTACAATGTATGAAAAAACAAAATCACCTTTGGAAGAGAAGAAGCCGATTTAAGATGCATACCTGCAACGTCTACGTAAGTGGGCACGAGCGGTCTAGGTATTCCAACGGAGAAATGGGTATTTAATAAAGTTAAAGATACATTTTTAAGCATACTATCCATTGATGGTCGCGTTTCCCATCCAGTGTAGTTAAAATATTTGTCCATGAGATCCCTCTGCTTGGGTAGATAAAATATTGAACTCAGAGTTGTGTGCATTAATGTTAAGACAGTATTCGTCAACCGTTCCGCGAACGTCATATGATCACTTAATCCAGAAAGTATTTCTGGTATATAAGATCCGATGTATGGATTGCCGTGCCATCGTGCAGTACCAGCGTTGGGGACAGCTGGAATAATCTGTACAACAGGTGCTTGAAATTTGTGTCCCATAGTAACAAAACACTCGTGGTTGAAGTTCTCAAATATAACTAGATCAAAATTTAAATCCTTTGAGTGAATCAGATTTTGTACTGAAGGTTTACTGATGACTTTCTCCGTGAACCTCGGCCATTTAGACCACGTCTTAAATGGAATTAATAATGTATTGATGGTTTTGGCCGCATTTAATGGATTTACAACTAAAACACAAAATATGTATACTAATTTATATATTTGTATTACAATCGAATTTTGATGGATTTTAGCTCTTATAAGAAACCTCATTAAATAAGTTTACAAATTTGTATACCTATATTCCAAAAAGCTATCTGGTGGCTGACATTGTGAACGCAACCTATATAATCTATATTCTAATCTCAATATAGATGGATAGTACAGTAATTACATTGCACGATATAATGGTGGAAAATTGTATTTTTAGTAAATTGACAAATTTTTATTTTTTTAGTGTAACTACTTGATTCATGATTCTCGTACAAACTTGGTGGTTATAAGAGCTCGATTTGACCTGGATGCCTATCTAACCTAGCCTACTAAAGTGTTCAATATAGGCAATGTTTTGTTAATTCTTAATTTGTCGATCCACCATTGGTTTTTAATTTTTTAAGCTGTTCCAGAAGACTCTCTCGACTACGATGTTTTTTTAAAGCTAATGTAATAATTCGTACAAAAAATCAAGACTGTTTAAAATGTACATTGACCATCTTTCAGGGGTACTCGGCTTCCAAACTTGTGTTATACATATGACGTACTGTGTTAGCTTTTACAAGTCGTAACAAAATGTATTGCATAACATAAACATAAAAGTATGATATGACCACCATGAAGATCTTCTCTGCATCGTGGATGTGACATATTTGAAACGATTTGGTTAACGGGAAATGGGACCTTATCATTAAAATTCTATTTTGAAAAACTAATTTTTTGTGAATTTTATATTTTTTAATAATTTGTCCTTAATGTTCACCTTGAATGTGTGTAAAGAAACCGCCATTGCTTTTGGTTCTATATTTTATAGTTTTATCAATCAAGAATAGTAAAGTTTTAAGGTCCTTTTTTGCACGATTGGACAGAGATGCGACAAGAAAAAGGCTCAAGTAATCAAATGCATGTCAATATGTTATATAAATATATATAAATTATTACAGTATTTAATAATATTACATTAATTTTTAATTATAAAATTTGATTTCAACTGGTAATAGAACCATGCCAAAGATGATATTAAGGACAAGAAATAGGGTAAATGAGATACAACGGAATGGAGAGTTCATGCAGAAGAATACTTAATCTAAATATGACTAGCATAGCGGCGGCAGCGGCCAACGTTTCGTGCAATGGCCAAATTTAATACGTTGACGTGATTGCTCAATTACCGGAAATCTAAGCTTATGCATTTTTTTCCTTAATCCATTTTACCTTAACCATTTTATCAAATTTGTTCAAATAAATACTAACAAATTCTAAAAACAACAAGGAATAATGAAAGCATCTGTCTAATGCAACATTTAATTGCAATAATCTAAAAACATTTAATAGGCTTACACAATTATTTCTATTTTCAGAACTTTTTGTCAGTCTGTTTTTTTTTAGTTAATATTGAACGTCATCTTTGAACGTCATTGAACTTTATCTCTGTTTCAAAAACTGCTTGATCAACATCATTTGAATTCACTTATATCTTTGAGAACTTTCTCGTCATAATTTTAATTACAAATGAGAATATAAAAGGTAGCTATAATATGTAGTGGTTTATAAATCGGTCAGTTAATTAAAAAAATGTTAATTATAGTTTTTTTTCTTTTTATGGGTCTAAACGCCAAAATATATGAACGAACGTTTAGACCTACCCCCGCCGATTTTTTCGAAAATTACATTGCATGTGTGCTACTATAAAAAGAGTGTTCTCAAATTCTTTTTGATTATTTTAGCCGTATTCGTAAAAAGCGTTAAGTTTTTGCTTGACACCTCCTTATTATCGTTTTTTTATGGTATCATCGGCCATCAAAAAATTGATTTAAAATCAGTTTATGTAAAATAAACTCAGCTTTCGAAAAAGTATGATTATTTTTTTTTTAATAAAAAGTTATTAAAATTGAGTTTATAATCTAAAAATTTGTTTTTTCGTGTTGCCCAAAATTTGAGAATTATTCCAATATTTTTTTCAGAATGCTGAGAAATTTTACATAAAATATGTAAATTTAAAATTGAGTTCTTCATAAAAACGCTTATAAAAAATAAAAAAAGGTACAAATTCATAGAAAAGTATTTTCTTACACTACATTCAAAACTTAAAATTCATACAGATTGAATTTTTTTTTGAGGGGGAGTGGGTAGGGGTGTATTAAACATATTTATTTTTAGTACCTACTTGTGAATGAGAATAACCCCTTAAGGTCAACTGCTGATGCGAAGCCCTCCAATACTCAGTCTTACCAACACTTTTAGCACCTCTGAAATAGTGACACTATGAATTTACTCTTATTAAGTATATATTATGGTTGACAGTACCTATTCAACTAAAACACTGTAACAAGGTTTCAAATAGCTAATATAACTTTTAAACAATTAATTTTTGTCAATATCCTAATGCAAATTTTAGAAAGTTTATTAAATTTCATAATTTATAAAAACTGAAATGCGACCGGTGTACTGCACCAAGAGGGGTAATGACAAATCTGACTACATGTAAAAATATATATTATATTTATTTACTTGAATCGTCAACATCAAGTTCTACTTGCAAATGATGATAAGTCGCCGGCGGATTTTCCAGTGGAAATGGAGATAATACAGTAACATTATGTCCTCTAACTGCTAGTTCTTTTAGTAAAGGTTCGAATGCAGCATAATGACTACGCGCTTTTGTTGGTAAAAAAGCCAGTACGTTGAATGATAGACATTCGTGTAAAAACAAAATAATCAAAACAAAACAAAACAAAAACTGCATTTTTGTTAATTGAAAAACGAAGAAGAATATTTTTAAAATAATACACAAACGATACACCAAGAATGTTTAAAATTTGTATTTTACTGAACACACATCACAACATAATATTATGTAATAATACGTTTAAAAATAATTTCAAAATCGACACACCCGATTATCATGATATTTAATTCTTCTTATTATGACAATAATATACCACTATCTGTCGAACTACAGACATAAGCAGACTAGCTAATCAATAGTGTTGGTTATAGTGTGTGGCGACCAGTTGCTACACAATACTCACAGCATTCCTGTCTACAACTATACAATGCCTATACCGAGCTGTTACATAACACATACGAGATTTCAAAACAGTCGTAATAATATATTAAAGTTCATGAATGTATATCAAATTTCAACCTGTTTTTATCATAAATTTCGTGTTGTTTAAGTTTCGTTATCATACAATTTATTATAGTTTAAAATTAAAATTCGATAGGTAATCTACCAACAGCGTGCACCGAAAAACTTGGAAAATTGGCTTCTTTAAACGCGTTTTTCTCAATTTAGAAATACTACACACGCCGTGCAATGTAGCTCAATAAATTTTAATCCGATTAACATGTGGTTTGATGAAATTTTTCTCTTAACTTTGAATGAACCTAAAAGTTTATTAATTATTATTACTCAATTAATAATAAACACTGTTTTTTTAGAAATGTTGTATACAAGAAGTTTTACGATGATTTTAATAATAATAATAATAATAATAATTTTTCAAATGTTCAAATAAATCCTAAATAAATAATATCTATTAGGATTAATAATTGTGTAATATGAAGTAATCGGCCAAGTTTTACTTTTTATTTTACAATATAAAAATGGGGTACGTCATGATCGCAAAAAGAACAAAAATAATCATGTTTATCAACATTTTTATCATCATTATTACTATTATAAATTATGTAGTTTATATATAGTACCAACCTATTACTATAATCTAAGAGTTAATATCCAAAGTTCATTTTGACGCAAAAAAACAAGATCTAACGTCCGATACAAATAAATAACCAATAATATAAATTAATGTTAAACACGAAAAACATAGATATTTTTTATAATATAAAATACAATAAATTATTTAAAACATAATGTTTTTGAAAAAAAGAACTCAAGTACTTTTGCTTTAATATGAACAAAATATCCAAATAATTATTTTATATAGTTTTTCGAACAAATTGTAATAATAAATAAAATATTATAAAGGCACTAAATAATTGTTCTTTTTTAGTCTATGACCTTTTTTAGGTAGGTTCGGACACTCTTTCTCTACAAGAAACAAGAGCTGCCCTCCTGGGGAATTGAGTAAAGGGAGGTGGTTTCCCGTTGCCTTCCGAGCCAGTCAGGTGGTCATTTCCGTCTCCAGACGATTCCTCCATCCAACTAGAAAAAGTCCAGCGACCGAGATTCGAAAATAATTTGTATTTAAATAAAAATGGAAATAATAATTTTAAAAGAAAAACAAATTTATTTGATAAGATAAATAACAATTTATTAAAAATAAAAATGATTTAATAAAACACTAATTTAAAGTAGTTATATTTTTATTTAAATAAAAAATATCTAAGTCTTATAGAGATTATATATTTTAATCTAATATCTATGATAAATCACAGAAAATAAGCTTTAGCAGCAATTAGTGGTGATAGCAAAAACCCAAAATGTACACAAATGAATTTGATTTGAATTACTAAAACTATTAATAACTAGATAAAATTTGATTAATATTACAAAAATAATTGAATAGTGTAAACAGACTGTAAATGAAAATTCTATGGTATACATGTTTTTATTACGTAGTTTTGCTATTTATATCTTTCTACAGTAAAAAAATTAAAAGATTCTTATGTTATACACCTATTTTGTATAATTAGCAGTTAAGGATTTCGCTGTATAAATGAATAGTGTTCAATTTAGTGAAAAATGTATTATGGAAAGCTGAAGACGTAATATAAATGTATTATGAGAATTGTAGTGTTTGGAATTTGGAACACATGACTTGACTCCTTTCGATAATAATTCTTGGTTATGCTACTATGAAATAATAATTTTTTGTTAAAAAATATTAGCAAACCTAAAGTTGACAAGAAATTATTGTCGGATACTCAGACAATCAGTTATGTTATTGAAATTTATCTTAGAATAATAATAATTTCTAATTATTTTTTTTCAGCTTATCAATTTTTGATTTACGAGTTACACATCTGCAGCATAACATAAGCAATTTTATAAATACATAAAATGACAAAAATGAACTTAACAATAAAACTATAATAACATCACACAATAAAAACTGGAACCAATTTAACTGGTTTGCGGCTGTTTTAAGATGATGAGCTCCTTTATGGCGTATGACATATTCGATCCAATAAACTGCTTTATCCACTGGTTTCATTGGCTGATCTTGAAACCGACGTGACAATTCTTTAGCATTTTCTAAATATCTAATGAGAACAAAATACACAAATTGATTTATTAAAATTGTTACAATTAAAAATAGTAAAACAAACTTACGATTTATTATTCAGTATTTCATGTAAGCTATTTTCGAAAATAGCTTCTGTGAGTTCAGTGTATAAAACCCTTATACCAGCACCTCTTGATTCCATCATAATTGAATTATACTTTTGATCTCCAAAAATAGCTATAGCTAACATTGGAACACCATAGTAAACAGATTCTACAGTACTGCTAATACCTCCATGAGTGATGAAAAGAACACAATTTGAATGTCCTAGTATATCTAATTGAGGAAACCATTTTCTAACAATGACATTTGGTGGCAAGTCTGGTAGATCATCTGCCTCCCACTTCCATAACACTGTTTGCTTGAGCTTGCCCAGTTGTCGTAAAAATAAATCTACTTTTTCTTTGGGTAAATGCATTGCTTTAACGACGGAACCAAAACTGAAATAAACTACACCATTTGGGGCATTATCCATAATTTGTTGTATATCCTAAAATTAAAAAATGTTGCGTTAGTTTGTGTAGCTTAAACCATTTTTATTTGTATTTATTTTATTACTTACCTTCGGTAATTTAGAAGCAGGTTTTAAATGCATTCCTGCTACTTCTATAAATGATGGAACTAACGGTCGAGGGGATCCAATTGTAAAGTGAGCATTCATTAAAGTAAGAGATATATTTTTTGTCATTTCTTCTAAAGTTGGTCTACTTTCCCATCCAGTATAATTAAAATATTTATTCATAATTTCAGTTTGTTTAGGCATATAGAACAATGGATACAGAATAAATTGAAGTAGAGTAACAAAAACGTTAGTTAACCGTACAAAGAAAGACATGCGATCAGAATATCCTGAATTCTGATCAGGGATGTAAGCCGGATGAAATGGTTGACTGAACCATTGAGACACAAAAGCAACTGGAGTGGCTGGAATCAGTTGTACTACAGGTGCCCCATATTTATGACCCATTGCAACAAAACATTCATGTTGAAAATTTTCAAATATAACAAGATCAAATTGATAGCCATCAGTTTGAATAAATTCTAAAACTTTAGTATTATTTAATGCTCCATATGTTACTTCGGGACCGAAAAATAAAGTGCCAATAGGAATTGTTATTGGATTCAAATAATTTGCTATTTGTAATATACTGAAATCTGAAAAACAAATCAATGATTTATTACTAAATACTATGTTAAAAATTCTATACATTATGTTCATTTCTTACTACTATTTTTAGCAGTAGACTCGGATTGCTTCACCGATACATCAATATGATGAAAATTTGGAGGTGGATCTTTCAAAGAGAAATGTGACAAAACAGTGACGTTATGTCCTCGAATGGCGAGTTCTTTTAACATTGGTGAAAATGCTCCATAATGGCTCCGAGCAAATGTTGGTAAAAAAGCCAATATATTGGCTGACCAGCTGAGATTGACAGCATATGCCAAAATTATATAAAATAGTGATATGTTCATCTGTAATAAGTAATTTGTATTATTAGTACAGCATCATACACTTAATATTTTTAAATAAAATACATTTTTTTGTTATTTAATTATTACAAATTAATCAAATATGTCTATGGTTAAGAACTGCTAATAGATAGATATAATTTATAGATTACTGTTTTCTTTAAAAACTGTTTGTAATGTATATCTGAAGAATATTTTAACCAAATAATAATGCATATGGCGTATTGACTGGGAGTGGCTTTGGTTAACTTTAAGCCAGTTCGGTCGCCGGGTTGCATGGCATTTCAGCCATGCATCCGGGGTTGATAGTGTGGGTCGCCGCTAAAAATCCCGGGTGGTTACCCATCCGGGATCAAGCAGCAACAGACACAGCTTAACCTCAAGTGCCATGCGGCACCTGAGATGTCCACTGCGCCACACCTCCCAGTCCAAATGGTTTTAACCAAATTTGACTACTTAAAAAAAAAATATTGTATGCTTTGATTAAAAGTAAAAAAATATGCACATTTTTTAATGTTTTCTCAATTACAAAATAATTAAATGAATGTTTTCCACATTTGACCCTAGAAGGTTCCCTCAATATCCATTTTCTGATCTATAGATTGTATATAATATGGAGAAATTGGTTCAGTGGTTAAAAAGTTGATTTTAAGTCTATACAAAGGGGGGGGGGAATATTATTGTAAAACCAATACCTTTAACCACAAGAATAATATTGTAACGTTTAGTATATTGCATTCAGTTATTTATTTTGTAATAATTTGTATTTAATTAATAGTTGATCCTAATTCCTGTATGAATATTTATATCTTCTTCTTCTTCGGGCAAACGGCCGCTAGGACCATCCCGTCAAACACCCCTCCCTAGTCCGAGGCTTGATGTTTGAGTCCTGAACGTTAGTTTTTTTTACAAGGCAGGGTCGTTAGCTCTGCGCTTAACCCCCAATTTGGAGGGCCAGTCTACTCCAACCAATTAAGGTCAGAGTAGAGAGAACTGGACCAGCTAATTAAAGCAAGTCCAGTTCATAGCTCGGGGCCCCGGGTTCGCCATACCCGTCACGCTAGATTAGCGTTCCCCTGAGGGAATGAATATTTATATGGCAGATAAAAATGAATTCTTTAAAATTTATACTCACATTGGAATCCAGCAATAATAAGTTGGTCGTTCTTCTGAACTCGAATTCACTGCTCACAATATTGACAAAGTGAACCAAAGTCAGAAACCGTCTATTTGGTTTATAATAACAATTATATTGTTCGTAATAGTAAATAATTAATATGTTTATATAATAATTAATAACCAGTCACCATTGTTATTTGTTACAGTTGTTGCTATACAGAGACTAGATAATGATATCGTAATACTTATCACTTTATTGAAAGTATTTATCATTTAAATATTATCACAAATTACATAACTGCATAGTGCAAACAGCAAAATGTAAATCAGTAATCACGAACTAAGATCTTAGTACCTATCTTAGTTTATCTATTCTGTGGTTCGTGATTCATATTTAGACTTATGCATAGGTACACAGATTAAATGCAATTGTATCATTGGTTCATAGTTAATACACACCTGTATTAGAAATAATCTGATAACACAGCAAAAACAAACAAAATGAATTGCATTTTACCAAACATATCTTAACCCTTTGAGTAGGTACCCAGTGCTATTACAATGGCAAGGCTTTTTGAATAATTATATAAAATATTAATGCTATTAATTTTGATGCTGGCTTATTTAAAAAAACAACTTAGTAGACTTTAATAAAAATTATTGGTTTAACCCGGTTTAAATTTTAATTGAATTTTTATGTATTTTCCATGATAAAATATGCGTAGATTAATATATTTTGGCGATTAGATTGTGTACTTAAGTAATAAATACTGGTAAAAATGTTTAAAACCAGTAGGCTGTGTTAGTTCTTAAATTAAAATGTTAACATATTGTTATTTTAATTTATACATCCTAAATAATATCAAATATACACTAACACCTTGAACACCCACGTTCTAATATAATGGCATATTTGAACAATTATTTTAAACACATTTTTATTTTAGTAATTTGAAAATGTCAAATAAAAAAGGAATTTAATTGAAAAATGTTATGAATTTGATGTATAAAAATTAACGCCCAAGTTCAAATTTATTGAATATAATAAATAAAAATGTATTTAAAGTAAAAAATTATTTGGTGTGCTTTGAAAATGTATATCAAATAACTCTCGTTATTTTCTAAAAAATATTTGTAAATAAAAATAATACCAATTTTGCTCGCTTAAGCATATAGGTATGAACTAAAAACTTTAGTTGCTACTTGCTTAGATGTGTTTAGCCACAGGCTTAGTTCATCAAGATTTTTACTTTATTAGTATTGTACTTATAGATAATTAATACATTGGACTAAAACGTGTTTTGAACATGTAATTTAGCGCCGACCATCGCACGGATTGATTGCTTTCTTTTTATAATAAATAGGGTCTCTAGTTTACTTAACTAAACTACTTGATAAAATTGGTCTGTTCGCACAAGATTATAAAAAAAAAAATTACACTTCTAGTTTCGTGGACCGTACTCGGTACTATAGTTTCTTGAATACTCATTACTCGACTAAAATACTGGCATACCCACTATTAAGGCTAAATGAATTATTAGACTAAAGTCGAAACTAAAAACTAACAGTTTTTGAATGAAACATGACCTTTCAGAATGAGGCATAAAACAGACTTGGCCACAATGTAGATACCACTACTTTGATAGTCTGACTTTTTAGGGAGGGTCTGGAATTGGCCCTTTTTCACTGTTAGGTTTTTATTGGAGATATCAATATTTTTGCTGGCTTCAGCGTCGTGGGCGACATGTTCATTTTTTACGAGGCATTGGTAGGAGCATTTAATTAAATAATGATATTATTATGATTATTAAAATATTCTGTACTTGATGACCGATAAATGAAATAAAATATAATAAAATTACGAAATCATTATGTTTGATAAGTATTTACTGTCAATTACAAACAATTGCTTATTGTCATATTGTAACACTAAAAGACAACGTTTGTTTCGACGGTGCAGGAATCTGTGATTAATTAATAAAAACCTGTGCTAATCTAATCAAGCAATATGCATGCGCGTCACACTATACAATTAGAACTATACTTCCTAAAGCGGCATTCATTTTGGGAATATTTAAAATTTCAGATTTTTCTCGTTCGTTATACAATAAGACCTGTCTTTGTGCCAAACTTCACGTTTCTACCTGTACGGGAAGTGTTTTATAATTTTGATGATGAGTGAGTGAGTAAGTGAGTCAGTAATAAAAATGAAAACTTTAAAATTCTCCCCTTTTGAAAAGAGCTCAAATTTTTACAATATCTTAAGCTACTCGAACTTAATCTAGGTTTCAAATTTCAAAAGCTTATCTTAAGAGGACGCCACACACCCAATTTTTTAGCGCTAAAACCTGTCTACGCAGAATGGGTTTTACTCGGCCCACGATGGTCTTAGAGCAAAAACACCAAGTATAAAATAGAAAGATAATGACATTTTTGAAAGAATAGCATATCCGTTTTTTAAAAAATGTCCAAACAAAAAAGTTATTAATGTTTTAAAAAAGTAAAATTTACACTTTTTTTAACATTAAATATTGAACTATGTACTAATTATATCGAAAAAAGGATATGCTTATCCCTCTAAAATGTCATTATCTTTCGATTTTATACTTGGTGTTTTTGCTCTAAAACTATCGTGGACCGAGTAAACCCTGTTCTGCGTAGACAAGTTTTTACGCTAGATTTGTAAATTTGTACGTCGTCATGTGCTGCTTCTAACGGGGCGTTCAAGTATTATTTATAATGGACCGTGCGGAGTGCGGGGGTAACGGTCAGCCGCCGTCCGTCCGTCGACCGACAGCCGAAAAACGGCAGGGTTGAGAGTTATCGGTAGCGGTGACACCGCAATTATTACCTGAAGAATAAACAGATAATCCATTTTTTAACAATTGATTTTCAATAACACGGACAAATAATAGTTGCTCAGCGATACCGTCATTTAATATTTGCTTTTTTGTGTTCATTATTTTTTAGAAAACTAACTGAATAACCAGGCTTTGCTTGTTCGAAAAAGGTAGAAAGTGTGTTAAATTATGATTTATAAGAATTGTGATTTAAAAAAATATTTGGGGAAAGGGAGGGTGGAAGAGTTGATTGCACACTCTGTGAAATTTTTTTTAAAAATGTTCAAATGCCTCTCCGAAAAAACGAAACATTGTAATACAATATGCGCCCTCCTCCCCACTCCAGACCAAAGGGTGACGCTGTGACTCTAGGGGAGAAGGAGTATTAGGATACTGTGTGAAAAATAAATAATAATTAAAATAAAAACAATAAAATTATTTAAATGCATCGCCAAAAAACCGGGACATTGAAATACATGTGTGCCCTCCTCTCTCCTAGTCAAAAATGAGAAAAATTACGGCACACCACAACTTTTTTAAAAAATATTCTATTAAGTTCCAAATGTATATGGAATATTCTTTAGATATAGTACTACCGCTAAACGTTGACAAATAAAAAAAATTATTATAAACCCTTCCTTTATGTGTGAGTTAATCACCAGTCAACGGGTATTTAAAAATATTTTCATTCTATTGCCAACTCCGATATACGGGTAACTATGTCATTAAATTGTTATAGACAGACGATAAACCCTATTCGTATTAACCCTAACAACAAAAATACTTTTTTAAGCAAGTTAATGCCAATAGGGTATTTAAAAATGCTTTTTTAAATATTTGTATTTCTACCATTATAGATCAAAACGTTAATTAAAAAATAATTTTATCAATTTCAGTTCTAATGAATCATATAGACCTGTGACCTCTCCGCCGCAATATGCTCCATCCCCACTATGCCCCTACCCCACTGTATTGGCTTTTTAAAATTATTTATACATAATAATATATTCGTATAATAGTGCGTAATTTTGGAAATTATCGCATGTCGTTCTTATGCTTTAAAAGTCGTATGCCAAGTGCCGACGGCAGCCAATTACCACCGTAATTCGTGGGATAACAATAGAACTGAATACTGATAATCTAATTTTAACTGAACGTATTATTTTGTAAATATTGAAGAATTAAGAAATATGCCTATACTAAGAAAATACTATATTTTTGTTGCACATAAAAGCCGCTATTCTATTTGTCCTATTGTGTTTTGTGTTTTATAGTGAAATTTTTAACAATTTATTATTTTATTCTTACTTGTAATATAATTACAAAAATTTTAATTATAATTCTACAATAATTTTTATAATTGTAAATTTTATAATAATTACCAATAAAATTTAATAATAATTGAAATATTAAAAATATCATATTACTTTTCTTGTGTAAATATATGTAATTGGGTTTTAGTTCATGATTTTGTCGGTATTAAAAATATCAGTAACAAAATTATTTGAATTGTTTTATTTATAGTTTGTAAAGTTAAAATTATAAAAACATAATTCAAGCTATGGTAGAACATAGAGTTTCTATTTTATTAATATATGTATATAATTAGGCAAACAGTAGTTTTTAATCAATAACTAATTCGTGGGTGCGCGCAGATACTATAAATATGTCGGCTGTATACAGCGTATGCAATTTCAAAGTATACGAATCGTCTACCAACGACGTTCATTCTATAATAAAACACGGTCCCGTACGAGAAATTGTCAGACCGGTTACGTCAACAGTAACGTGATAGGCGGGGCTAAAAACGCGTGCCTGCGCCTCGCTAAAACACCTAACAGCGCGTTCTATCGGTCGTTGCACGCGTTCCACTTTTGGTGTGGCGTCCTCTTAGGAGGAAACAGAGATATGTTGGTTAAAAAAACTGAGTGAATTGGTTAGTGTACACATGATATAATAGTTTTATCATGAGTGTACACTGGCATTGCTAATTGCTGGAATGCCCTTAGATATTTTAACACTTTAATCCTAATAACAATGAACATAGAAGCGATGTTCAATACCGATTACCGATTTTTGTTATCAAGAATACTCTTATCACTATAACATTCCTAGAGAGACTTGTTACTAACTTCCTTCTGTTAAAAATTTCCAAATTTTGAAAAACGTGTTCTCACACGTTAGTTAGCAAAAAACTCAAATTCCTGAAGTTGTGTTACATAAAAAATTATATTTACGTAAGTATATAACTATATTTGTCAGCACTATTGACTTATTAATAGTACTGTCTCTCTAACATATTTTAGAAGGTAAATTTCGGTAGGTTTTCATCTACCCTATGCTTCTTTTATTACCATCTGTACATTCCTTTATTTTTTATTATTTTTAGCTAATCATGTCTTTGGAGATTTTAGCTCAAGAAAAAGTGTGGCTCGACAAAGCTAAGTATGCCGAAGCGGAACGTATATACTATGAAAAACAGTCACAGGTAATTTTATATTTTAGTTGTTTTACATCCCAGTTGGTGATTGAACTGTATTTTTTAATCTAATCATTTGTTTGTTAAATATTATATACAATTATACATGTATATGTGTGAGAGAGTTTAAAAAAAACAATCATATGTATATAAGAAGTATTAAAGTTAAAAAAAATGTAGTATTTTGAACCAATTAAGCAGGACAATGACACATTTATGTGGCTATAATAGTGAGGTATGTAGTTCAAAGTAAAAGGTCAACCTTTCATTACATAATTACCGGGGTGTTCTAAACACCCACGGTCATTAATTAATTAATTCACTAATTTCATTTATTAACTTATTAACTGGTAGGGCGATGTTAACCTCCATACCGGCACGCAGGCGGTAGTTTACCATTTCATTCATAAAAGTGCACGCAAATTTTCCTTATGGGAATGGGATTGGATTGGAGGGGTGTGTTATTCTTTAGTGACCCAATATGATAAATGGTAATGTCATCCTTGCTACAGTTTTATGTTCACTTTCTTAAGTCAACGTGTAAAGTGCAATTTAGTGGTAGATTACCACCAAATTGCGTTCCCATTTATGTAACTTTTTTAAAGAAAAGTGTATATTTTTCTGATACAATATATTTCACAGGTATTTCTTCACTATAATTCAATACAAAATATATCCAACAATAATTTTAAAGATTTTAGATAAATTTTTGAGCAAAATAGTCACAAAAACAAGGAGACTGTAAATTACTGTTGCGTGCCCGCTAGGAAAGGCACCCGCCCAGATGAAGGTTAATAAGTTTTCTATTTATACAAAATGATACATACCTAATTAAAGGTTAAGGGCAAAACAATATTTTGTACCACTGTTCTGATACATGGTAATGAATTTAAATGAAAATTTTTTTATATTTGCAAGTTGTGCTTAATAGCTAAATCAACCATCTCTTTCTAACATACTATACAAGAACGTAATCAAATGTTATCAAGACAACATGTTCTTTAATTTTAATTTATCAAAAGGAAAAACTTTTTTACTCGCTAAAATATATAAACCTACATCTAATTAGAACTTTTTAAAACTAATAATTAATAGTAAATTTATTTTTATTCCATAAACATAATTTATACATTTTTTTTACACCCTGCCTACCAGTGTTTTTTTTATACTGATAACACAAAATTGCAAATTGTTGTGCATAAAAAAAAACAACAATTTGTTAAGTATGTTATTTTGTATATATGCTATTTGTCCAGAGAATTTCTCAATTTATGGAGGCCGATGAATTAAAAAAAATAAAAATAAGGCTGTCTTACTATAAATAAGATCTCTAAATCTCTCAAACCTTAATACACTTCTGTTTTTACCATTTTTATGACTACTAATTAAGTACATTATTACCTCATAATTTTTAAAACCTACAAAAATATATATATAATAAAACAATATTGCTTTACTAACTAAACTAACAAAAAGAGTAAACAATATTTCTTATTTATAATAATATTATTTGTTATACTTCTCTGAAAATTAAAGTTTTATTTTCAAAGTACTTTATGCACTACAAAGCTGTTCTATAATATATTATATTGTATAAGGTATTTTTTTTTTTATGTAAATATTTCCTTGGTTTAATTTTAAATAATTAGTCTTTAATTTTCAGTTAAGCGGCCCCTACACCAACAATATTATTGCATAATTGATAGTCTAGAATAGATATTAAAGAATTTTGCAATACAATTTCAACACAATTGGATTTCTTCAATGTATTGCATAGTTCTTATTAACTAAATTTTATTGTGCGTGTAAGAGCTGCTTTATACTGCTGTATTTCGGGTATCACTATTACAATCATGGTTATTATTACTTAATATAATTTACTTCTAGAGTATTATTTATTGGTGTAAAGTTTAATATTTCTTGGTATAATACATATTTATTGCAGATTAAAGGTGAAGGCAATTTATTATTAGCTACTAAAACTGCAGTAAGTGCACATTTTACTATTTGTTTCAGTCCATTTTGAGTAATACAACAGCTTAGTATGGTACTGATAAAAATTTAACATTTAAGGAATAAATTATTTCATGGGACCTAACTAATGAAATGTCCTAAATTTCTTTGCATCGAGTTTGTCTATATTAAATAATTTTCAATGAAATATAGTCCAATACAAAATAAATTAACTGATACAACTTTCCAGTTGCGATTTTGTAATTCGAAATATTGTGTATTTATTTGTTTTTAACACTTACACTTTAATGTTATATATATAAGTTTTTAATAACTGGAGCACTAATTATACAATGTATTAGAACAGATATATTTATAATTGATTTTTTTTTTTAGTTAGAATGATGTAGTTATTATTTTACTCTTAAAGTATCTTTATTAATGTAATTTTATAATAAAAAAATGTAGCAATATTATTTTGAATCGTGGCTAATATTTAGTTCCTATTAAATAATATTAATAAAACCATCAACATTTTTATTTTGCTAGAATACCTGTCAAGCCCCTGGAAAGAAAGTGCTGTTAGCTGAAATTGAAAAAGCACGTCAAATTTTGCACGACAAAGTTCAAAATGTAAGACAAACTCGCTGAAAATATATAGAATGAAGAGTACAGCTTGACATATTAATTCATGGCATTTAAAGCCAAATTTCATATGTTAACAAGCACTTATTTGTACTTTTATATTAATTCTAAACTAATACTTTTTCAAGCACAAACAATTATATTTTATACCACAATTTTGATAGTTTTGTATTTTGCTGGACTCTTACATTTTTCTTCTTTTATGACACTACTAACTTGCATACACGTAATTCATGTTGAAATCATAATTATCATTTTCACTTATCAATGTCAATTTAATAATAATGTGAACTATGTCGAGTAGAAGTTGAAAAAAATTCTAATAGTATTAATATTAATAAAAAAAAAAATAAACATATTTCAGGTAAATGAAATTGAGTCTTCTAATATTTGTTCAAATACAGGAAGAAATGAAACAAATAGTGGTAAGTAACTTATGTTGCTTTTTTTAACATGTTTTTATTGAAATCTGAGTGTGGTTTATTTTTCCAACCGTAATTTTCAACATATAATATGTAATTTCTCAAAGACATGTTTTTCTCTTACGATTTACTTCTAAAATAATTATTATTACTCTAAGCCCTATTTTAGTTATTATTTCACTTACTATATATTAATCATATTGTAGTTAGTGTTGAAGATAACATATTGCTGATATACATATACACATAGAGTGTATTATTTGTATAGTTAAGGGTTTAAAAAATATTCATTTGTTTACTGTATTTGTTTCTAAGTTTTTTTCAAAATAATGTCAATTCAAATTAAACCAGATTCTAAGGTACTCAAATTGAACGTTTAAAATTGTATTATTGAAAGTTTTTGAATACTATTTGTTGTATAATGTCTATATTCATTTATACCTATATTCTAAAATATATTACTAATTTTAAATTTAAAAAGAAAAATTTTTTTTTTATTTAATATTTTAGCTCTTGCAGAATTAAAAACCGCCTTTCAAAAGTTGGAACTTCGTGTCAGTGCATTAGAAGGAAAATCACCTTTGAGCGTAAGTTAAACAATAACAATAGTTTAGCTGTTTAGGTTAAAGTATAGAGATTAAATTTTGTTTGATTGGTTTCAGAATTCATCCACAAGTACAAATTCATTAAATCAAGGTATTCGTTTAAAAAACAGATTTTATATTTAGTTTAGAATAATTGAATACGTTTTACTAATGTTGATTTATTTGTAGATGTCAACCAACTGCAAAGCCTCTTAAAACAATTGGAAGTTCGGGTCACTACTTTAGAAGCTAAAATATCACCTTCTGCAACAAGTAATATATCAGTACAAAAAGAAGCTCCTAAAAAAACTGAAAAGAATGATGATGGTGATGATGACGATGTTGATCTATTTGGATCAGATTCAGAAGTAAAATTTTACTTAATTTTTCTATATATATCCGCTGGAATAAAATTACCAACTTTGATTTTGATAACCTTTTATCGATCGCATAGTTTCCAGCTACTTTTATATTAAGTGTGACTTAGGTAAGACATGTCAGTCACAAAAACTATATTATGTGACTGGGGTAAATTTGTATGATGTGCGACTGATAGAAGAGGTGACAGTGGAAGAACCGCTAATATGAATTAAGAATTCATCTGTAAACAAAATAAAAAAAACCCTCTCCAAGAGAACTTGAAATTAGAGATTTGTTTTGCGTGCTGTTTTGAAGGAGGGAATTGAAGACCTTTGATGGGGCTCTTATAATTTGTCGAATAAAAATAAATTTATATAAGTTTGATTCAAATCCAAAATCGTCAGGTATTAACCACAAACCTTCCTCTCTAAGTTACTACTGCAATACAAAATGAAAAATTTCATTATTTTTGTTTTCTGTAATCTGTACACTCAACTGCTTTTAGAGGCAGAGGTTCTTATTATAAAATAATAAATAAGCATTATAATTTTACTATTATTTATTATAAATAATAAAGTATACTATTAACATAATGACATTTTATAGGAAGAAAGTGAAGAAGCTGCCAAATTAAAAGCCCAACGAGTGGCTGAGTATGCTGCACGCAAATCTAAAAGTAAATTTGTATTAATTTTGTTAACATAAATTGAAAATATATGTGTACATTTTAGTTTTTATGCAAATGTTAAAAAAAAAAGTGCTACCGAGCAACAACAAGAAAAACTATTAGTATCGTTATAAACACATTTATTGTGTATTGGTGTATTATGATGATGCATACATTTTTAAATCAGCTCATGTTAAATTGTTGTGATCCACCCTATTTTAGTAATTTTTAGTAATATATTATTACGATTTATAGATTCGGACCAAATCACCTCTTTTTTACTATATTAATTTATCAATAAATATAAATGTAATTCAAGTATAAAAAAATCAAATCGCATGCTTGATTTTCGGATATATCCGCGTCAATGGTTGTTAACCGACGTTTCGGGCTCTGCAAAGAGTACGAGTACAGTCACGGCAGCAGAACAGTAGTGACATTACCCTGAAGATGGATTCTGCAAAGAGTCCGAAACGTCGGTTAACAACCATTGACGCGGATATATCCGAAAATCAAGCATGTGATATTTTAGTCCGTGAAAGTTTCAACACATTCAAAATCAAATTGGTTATCAACTTTTTGTAAATTCTAAATCGGCCACATTATTTATATTTTTTCAGAAGTTCCTATGTCTTTTATACAATAATTAATTTATAATCACTGACTTATATGCTTTTTGATAAAATTAAGCCAACAGATATGCGATAGATTTTAAATCAGTAATAACTTTTGTATAACTTATTAGTAAAATTTGGTTATAAGTTATATTTTAAATTCAGTGTAGTATGTCTAAAAATTGAATGTAAACTTAGAATAAAACATGAACATTTTCTCATTACAATTGGCTTTAAAAATGTATTGTTCTGTTTAAATGTCGTGAATTTTTTTGATTATAATATGTAATTGTAATATACTATTTTTATTTATTACAGAACCTACTCTTGTTGCTAAATCAAATATTATTTTGGATGTGAAGCCGTGGGATGATGAAACTGACATGAAAGAGTTGGAGAAAGAAGTTCGAAAAGTTGCTACTGACGGTTTATTGTGGGGAGCTTGTAAGTTTTTTTTTTATTTATTTAAAAGAGTTTATAAAAAAAAAAAGTTAAAAATTATGCAATTCTAAAAAAATAATTTGAATTTGTTTTTAAGTGATTTATTATGAGTTTCATTATACTGAACATTATAATATATTATATTTTGAAAATAATAACTGTATTATTATCATACTTTTGACTTTTGAGCGGACCTCATTTTATTGTATATTTTTATACCTAAGGAAGGGGGGGAGCTAAACTAATAACAAGTGTATGACTAACTAATTATTTTAAAAAGCAAACAATAATTTTTTAGTCGTCTGTTACTGAGTTCTTCATTCTTTACTCGTTAATTAACCCTTAAGTGCACGCGTATTAAATTGTAACGTTTAACTACGCTAGCGGTACGGAGTGCCGCAACGTCAGATATGACCACTTAGAACTACTATTTGAACACTGATAAGACAACATGATTAATCAATGCTATCATGATCATCTAGTGTATTGATAACACAAGAGATAGAATGGGGTCATGGTGTAATCATGTGGCCAATATCCGCGTAAATTAAAATGGCGCAAAAATGCGGTAAGCCGTGCCGTTTAGCGTGCATTTAAGGGTTAATTTTAAAAGTTATAATTATTTAATAATTTAGGACTTCAGTGATTTATTTTTACACTGAAGTTGAATCACGAGTCTCCCACATGATTTGCGTAAAACATGATATATTTTTATTGTTTTTAACTCGTCATAAATAATATAAAAAGTTAATTTTTTTAGCAAAATTGGTACCTTTGGCCTATGGTATTCATAAACTTCAAATCAGTTGTGTCGTTGAGGATGAAAAAGTTTCTATCGATTGGTTACAAGAAACTTTGCAGGAAATTGAAGATTATGTAAGTTGTATCTTTGTATATTATACGTTGAACAATAAAGTGCCAACTAAAACGATGGCGCAGCCAGAAGTAATAGGTTTTAGATTCTGCATTGGTTCATTCTTAAGTTAAATAGTGTATAATTAAGCATGAATTATTAATATATTAGTTATAATAATAATTATTATTTTATTTTTCAGGTTCAAAGTGTAGACATAGCAGCCTTCAACAAAATTTAAATTTTAAAAGTCAAACTAATTTATCGGAAAAATAAAATATCTTTAAAACGATAAAATAATTATTTTACAGTAATATACAATTTCAATTAATATATTTATCATTTTATTTATTTTTCTATTCATGTGTCTTTTACCTAGTTCTTTATTAAGTAATTTAAAAATCGATCAACAATCCTGCAAATATTGATATTATACTTTGGCACATTTTTATAAACATTATATGACATACTGGTGGAGCCAAACTCAATACTGAGGTTAAACTACTACTGAACTACGTTTAAAGCAGACACCCTGCTTTCGTGTCACTATTTTATGTCGTTTTCGAGCTGGGAGACCAAGGCTAAACTATGTTCCATGCTAAAATATTAACAAAGAGGTCATTCTTAAACTATTTGCAGATAAACATAAATATATCCTGTTAAATTAAAAAAAATATGTTATAAATAATTAAATTAAAATTTGTAAGTTTTTTTTAAATATATTATTTTGAAGTACTTCTATAAATGTTTTGTAATAGTAAAATTTTAGCCCCCCCCCCTCCCTTCTAACAAGCCAAATGTACGCCCATGCTTATGAGTAACTTTGAAGTATATTTTTCTGAAAATAGTTTCTATACCTATGATTTATTAATTTGAATTATAACTTTTTTGGCAGAAAGAGAAAAGGTACGTTTCTGGCGTAATGCCCAGGTCGCAGTTACAGATGAAATCATTATAAAAAAAGGCTTCAATGTGGAACTGTAGACGGTAGAAATAATTTTAAAGGCAATCGTGTGGTTAAAATTGTATTTTTAAGATTAGGGTTAAGCTATAAATAAAAATAAAACATTAAAATGATTAATACAAATAACTTGCTGATACCTGTTGACAGTTTAATCATTTACACGCCAGCCTGGAAATTCAATAAAAGTTTAATTTTCTCCTTTTTGAGGGGTTTTAATGGACAAAAAAGGTTTGACTAGGTACCGATTTTTGAGAAAATTATGTGTTGTAACTCTACTCTATAACACTATATCTTCAGTCTAATATTCAGACATAAGTTCAAAAACTACGTTCGAAAAAGTGAAATAAAAAAAAAGTTTTTACTCTTTGGAAAAAGGGTTTTTGATAGGGTTGCCAACTTTCAAATTGTGTAATGTAGGACAATATTTTTCCATATATGTCCAAGGGGTCAAAAGGGAGAAATAATTATACTTTTCAGATTTCTTAGTGATTTCTAGATGTTTTCTGGGCTGAGACACTTGAAGTCATAAAGTCTTTGAGTTGTATTATTGTTTCTATTGAGTATACTTACTTAAAAAAATGTATTTCAGGGATTATAGGGAGCTGGATTCGAATAACAAATCCGGCCTTGAGTCAACAGAATATAATATAATGAATAGAATATATGTATATTTTTAATAAATAATCTTATACATTTTATTTATATCACCTTTATTGAATCTTATTTATACTTTTGACTCGGAGGATTTAACTTCGACTATTATATATCGTGTAAATGAACGCAGTTACTACATTTTTAAGTATTTATAACAATTAAGCAAAGTATATAGCAATTGGATGTTTGCCACTCTAATTAAATCTTAATTAAATACTTATACACATCGGATACAGAATTGGGTCTATAAAAAAATTTAACAAATCTGATAAAAGTGATTAAGCTAAACAATTGATAAAATTAAATATAATAATAACGAAATATAAATAAGTATTTTTTCAATTTTTCATAGATTTTACCCTATAGTATAAGAACATAACTGTAATATAGGATTGTCCTACAAAAAGTTTAAAGCTTTGTTGGACGTAGGACAAATCATACAAATGTAGGACTGTCCTGCCCAAAGAAGGACGGTTGGCAACCCTAGTTTTTGATATTTTTTTTGGTTTGTCATCGTTTATAAGATAATATGAGCTGTGAAAATGAAAGTGGTGTATGTCACATTTAAGTTGTGTTGAGCATAGATATATACTAATACTAGATAGCCGTCTTCGAGTTATCAGTGAAGCTGACGCCATATCCAATGTAAGCACAATCGGTAAACAAACGTTGTCAATATTAGGCTTTGTCATCTTGTATAAATTACCCATTGACCTTTTACTAGGTCTATGAAATTACCTTATGCCTTTATATTTTTTAATTTTACCCGTTGTTGTTATATCATTGATATCATAGCGTGCAGTGACTATGTTAAAAAATAAGTAATTTGTCGGGTGTTTTTCTCAATTTTAAAGGGGAAGAGGTGATATTTTAAAATGTATGGCTCAATAAAGTAATTTTCTGGTTCGATTTATGATTTATAGACTTAGACGAAGAAAGCGGTTTAGGAAATATCGTGAGTTCGGGCACAAAATAAAAAAGTCACTGTGTTAAGAGTAAAAACCGCACCTCATGGAAATTAATAATTCCCAAAGCTATAAAGTATACCTACAGTTGGGGTAGGTACTTCTTAGAGCTTAGAAGTGATGTATCTAAATTAAGATTGTTGTTCATTTTTCGTTTAAGTAATCGTCAATTTAGAGATGGGTCTATTACTTAACTGACACATTTAAAAAAACACGATTACCAACTATTGTTGGAGCTTGCAAAGGACGAAAAATGAGTCATTTAGTCGCTATAATTTGTAGTTTTACTAGGATAGGAAATTTTACATAGCATTTTTTCTCTTAGTCATTTAGGGAATCAAATTATAAAAACATGTAACCGGTTTTCCTTATGGTAGCGTTCGTTTTTAAATGGTAAATTCACGCTATCTCGAGTTACATGAACACAAGACACAAATCCTGTTGGGATGGCCTTGGCGACCAGTAACCACCGTCATGACTTGGAAAAAACCATAATAAATTAACAGTCAATTTGCTGGGGAAAAAAATCGTTAAATGTAAATCCTTAGGTATTATATAATGAAATTTAAAAAAAAAATTAAATACAAATCGTCCATTTTACATTTCCCAGACAGCAAAAAAAATCAAATTATTTCACAACGATCCTAATACATTGTTTTAACGTTAAAAAAATATGTTAATATATTATTCTCTTGTCGAACAGACAATAGACAATTTTATTTGAGGGATTAATTATTTCACAAATGTTATTCACAATATGTTATTAAGATGCTATTAAAAAGTTTAATTTATATTACACATAATAATATTTTATATGTTAACTATTAAAAATACCAATAACCTAACAGTGATTCTATATGTGGATCGTTTCGCGAAAAATGGTCACTTTATAGTATTGAAATTTCACAAAAACTTTTGAACTTTTAAAAATGTTTGAAAACAGCATCTTTATTATCACTTTGAAGGTTAAAATCCAAAAAAGGTCAACGTAGAAATTAGAAACGTTTGGTTTTTCACTTTAACCAATAAACCCATAAGCTCAATTTCAGGGGAGTGAACTGTAAGACCTAAGAGCGTCAGCATTTTCTTGGAAACTGTTGTGGAATCGAATTTTAATAATACGGATCTATTGCCACCTAACGCTTTATTTTAATGTACAATTAGGATAAAATTACTTATATATTATGCCTTATGATTGAAAGGGGAGTGATGTTAGTAAAAAAAACACATCTACCAAACCATCTCTACCCTGACGGTAAAGTTAAAACTTGACAGAGGAGTGAGCCAACAATATTAGGACACACTTAAAATGTGATCATAGTTTACTGTTGATCGAGTGGTATTTCTCAAAAAATCATCCTTTAGTAGACAATGCTGCCATATTACTCTAATGATTCTTTTTCCAAGCGACCATGTCAAGAACGGCCTTGAGAGGATCAGCTAACGACATTTGGACAAGCTAAGGAGGCTGAGGAAATAGCTATTCATTTGATTTTTTCACATTTCTTATTGTAACAAATTAATGGTTCTGATTGACACATTTTTGTTGACCTGAATAAACCTTAAATGGACAATTTTTGAGACACCTCAAAAATAATTATAATGCTCCATTATTTTCCATAAACACAAATGTACTTTTTTCGATGAAATGACCTGTGTATAATTAATACACAAAATTCTTACAATAATTAATAATTTAAAATAATGTTTTATATTATTTAGAAAAATAACTTATAAATAAATATTTTCTTTTTTAATCTTATTTTGCATATTTTAAGTTTATCAACATTCATTTACTCTGTTTTTTAGAGTTTATGGGAAATATTTCAGCTCAACAATTACCTAGTTTAAATACAATTAGATACAAACTAATATAAGAAAAAAATATAAAACTAAAATAAACTAAGAAAAGTACATATGTACATTGTTAATTAGATAATAAACCCCGCAGCAATGATGAATTTGAGAATGGATTGAATGATAGGAACGGAACGAGAGCTAAATATATATTGAAGGAGTTGGGGTCTTTAATACTCATAGAGGATAGGAAGTTAAAGAGGATACTCTGTGGGGAAAGAGTGAGGCAATGAAAAAGGAACTACCCTGTTTATAACTATAGATATTTATGTCAATAAATAAAAATTTGAAATAATATTTATAATATTCTTCTTCTATTTAAGTAAATCGGTCACTAGGACAATCCCAAAATACAGCCTTGCCTCTAGTTTTCTCTATCCGGTTGCCTGTCTCATTCAGTCTAAACTTCCTCCTAACGCTTCCACATCACTCCTTACTAAGTCTTCCCATCTCAGACGTGGTCTTCCCAGCGGTCCCAGTAGGATTTTCTTCTAGTACTATGCGTATGAGTGGATTTTGGCTACACCAAGCATGTCCAACCCATTGTAATCTTTTGTTCTTTACCATTTTCAGTATACTGGGTTTATGGAAGAGCGTTTCTAATTCATCGTTTTTCCTTATCTTCCACTCACCACTTAGCATGTCCTTTACAGGTCCAAAAATCGTTCGCAGTATTCTTCTCTCCAGAACTAAGAGTTTTCTTCCATCACTTTTTCTTAGTGGCAATGTCTCGGCTTCATAAGAAGTAATTACAGGTCGTATTAATGTGTGGTACAGTTGTATTTTCAAATCCTTCGAAAGTGATCGTGATCCCAGTAATTTCGCAAGACCATAGAGATAGTTATTTTCGGACCGAATTCTTGCCCCTATTTCTTTTTCGATTTCATTTCTTTCTGACAGTATTGATCGTAGGTATTTGAATTGTTTTGTTCTTTTGAAATTTCGGTTGTTGACATTAAGATTTGGATATAATCTCATGGTGTCTCGTCTTCCTATGACCATGTATTCCGTTTTGTCCTAATTTATACGAAGTCCAACTTTCAGTGCTGTTTTTCCAGTCGACATAAATATCTTAATCCGGCTTTTGATTTGTCCATGATCACCAAATCATCTGCATAAGCCAGCAGTCCTATGGAAGATCCTTAGAATTTAACTCCTTCTTGCGGTATAATTTTCACCACTCTTATTACTTTCTCTATTACTATATTGAATAAGAGTAATGACACAGCGCCCCCCTGTCTTAGCCAAATTTAAATAATACTTCCTATTTTAACTTTAACAAATGTTTCTAATATCCTTATCTCAACAAGTTTTATTAGCTTGTCCGGGAAATGGAACTCCCTCATGATATTGATTAGGCTCTTTCTGTGTATGCTATCATATGCCTCCTTAAAATCTATGAAAAGTACGTGTGTTTCTCTATCGAAATCCCAGTTTTTTTTGTATATTTTTCTTAGAATAAATATCTGGTCCGTCGTCGATCTCCCTGGCCTGAAACCACATTGGTAACTTGTTCAGATTTTTCTTTTATCCTTAATATGTAGTTAGAAAAAAATATACAAGCCACATTTAAGAGAGCTTCAATCTATATTATGTTATAGAATAAAATCAGTTGAAGTGGAATTCACGTTATATAGATATGCTTACAACTAATTTAAGTTAACAATTAAGTATTTACCTTAATAAAAAATATTTAAATTCAATCAAAAACAATTAATACCGTGAAACCATTTAAGACATTTATGGTTGTTGTCGTTTAGTTTTAAGACAGTTTTCCAACTGAATTACAATAACTCAATTATTTCTTTGGTATTCCCAAATTACAAACTGAATAAATACGTTATAGTTTTTTTATGTTATGTGGGCACATCAAGTAGGCAAATTAAACACACAAATGAATTTTTAGTAGTACAAAATAATATATTCTAGTAAACCTTTTTAGGAGATCTTATTCAACAACATTATTGCCACTCGATTAGAACCAGGTGGTGGCTATAGTAGATTTAATGTGACGCAAAGAGTAGGACTAAATTCAGTTTGCCTAGTTAGAAGAAAACAAATTACCATAGACGTAACTAAGGTCATACGATCTGTATGCAAACATTTTTAATAATGTACATAATCTGTACAATTTTTCTATTCTAGAATATTTTTGTTTTCAAATATATTTTTTATATCTAATAGTTAGAAGTTAAGAATTATGTTTAGTCAGGTATACATAACTTTAGCACCCATTAAAATGTAGGTCTAGTTGCGTCTATGCAAATAACCGTTCAATATATCGTGGTGATAAGATATCAATGATAACAGTATCTTGAAAAAACAATAACATTTTGAGATAAGGGGTAAAAACTTAATTAATCATATAGAGTACCAATCGCTTAACAATGAGGACTTTTTTTTCATTTGTGTGGCTATACCGGCTTTAGTCCTGTTTACTTCACTATCGCATACAATCTAGTATAGTATGTTAGTTCATCTCTTTATATTATTACTCTATGATTAGAACATACTAAAAGTGACGTAAAGAGGGACATATATTGTGCTTTGGTTAAACTTAAAATTTCAAAATAAACACTATTAAAGTTATCGCTTAGAAAACAAAATTTTGGTTTTCTAAATAAAAAATAAATAATCCGGCTCGATAAAATAATATTTACAGAAAATAAAAAATAATAAAAATAAAACAATAAAATATTGATTATAGTCCATCGTGAACGTTTTTATTGCTCTAGACTAGGGTTTATTATTTTATAATATAATTTATGTCATAAAGTTTGTAAGGACACACTACATTTATACTAAATAATAATTGTCATCTGTACAGCTAACACAAAAAAAAAGTTTATTGTATGGTATATTTAAATATGATCAGTTACGTTTATCTTGAAAAATTTCTATTTATACACCTAATATATCTGTAACAACTGTGAATAAGTGTGTAAGTCGATTTCAGTGATTTTACAGGGGAGCGATTTTAAACTTTTACCAGCTGCCATAAATCAGGATAATTAGGATTTCATTTAAAACATTTGATTTTTTTATGATCCTCTTAATTGATAAATATTTAGAGGTACTCTAGTGGTTTCTTTCAAGTTTAAAATCGCTTCCCTATAAAATCACTGAAATCAATTTACACACTTATTCACAGTTGTTACAGATATATTATATTGGAGCTGTATTTGCGCGTATGCTTTTAATGGTAATTCTATAATTAGTATTGCTACGGCAGAAATTATGGAAAATAAAATTAACTATAGTATAATTAACCATACTTACTATTACTAAGTATCGTTGACACGTACAATACACACAGTATTACCCATGATGGTTGTTGCAGTGTTAACTTATCAATACAAAATTATTCAAAATTTTAAATTATTATTATTATTCGAAATTCATCTAAATTTTAATAGATGTTTTTAATAACAAATACACAATTTATTTTTATTTTGTAAAATTCAAAAGATTTATTATTTAAAAAACAATTTAGTTTTATTTTTAAATTACGAATAAGAACTGGAACTGCCTTGTAGCTAACCATGTTATCTAACATGTATGCTTTGTTTTTGTTCCACTTAAAAGGCATACATTTGAGTCTTGAACGACTGGAAGCACTAATATAATATGTCAATTATCTTCATTCACGAATTGGTTTTTGAAAAATACAACAAATTCATTTATTTTGTAATAAAGACCCTATAAATTAGAATAATGTAATATTATTGCACATGTAGTCGTGAAGGTTCCCACGTTTAGTATTCAGGATTTGTGGATTCAAAAAAAAATGTACATTTGTACTAATTTTTTTTGTAATACAAATTCCCGTCCTAAAAATAATCACATAATTATTTTTTAACTCGGCAGATGACACGGTTGCGTGGCCTTCCATTAGTGATGCTGTTAATAAATAAATATGTATTTTTTTTATTATTATTTGTGTCGATAGCGAACCTTGCGAAATGTCCCCATACGCCACTTTAAACGCATAATCGGCGAGTAAGTTTTCCATAAATTCCAGTAAGACACCTAAAAACCTGTTTGTTTTCAGGTTGACATTCTGACAATTATTTTAATGCGACGCCGCTTCCATTTGTTTGGGCAGACGATTTCAAATAATGTAATAGTCGGTTCAGTAATATATTAGCGAGGATAACCCGGTTTTTCAGGTTTTTTTTTCTGACAGATGAGCATATTCAATAAGGCCAATGATGACATCGACAACACACATCTTGCTTATCTAGTCTTAATATAATATACTAATAAACACCGCTCACGACAATGGGTCGGTTATAATAACTACATAAAGATTTATGCGCGTTTAAGCACTGCAATGAACACACTACAAGTCACGTGGTTTTATAAATTTTTTTATCTTTTATTGTTTTCACAAAACTTACAAGCTAGACGTATACAACGACATAATAAAAATACACAATATGGTAATACAAGTCGACTTGCGCGGTTGTGGCCAGACGGACAAGCGGGACCGAGCCGATATGTCATGTGACGAAGGTGCGCGCGACAGCCCGTTTGGCGTCCGAACAAAATAACATAATATTATAATCGTTATATAACAGTGACGGGGGTCGACGCTTGACCGTCGGGAGAACGCGTTGTAGTAATATTACAATAGTAATGATAATAATAATAATAAAAACAATAATAATAATGTAAGACCGAGTATAACCGTGTTTCGTTCGGTTAACGAAAAAAAAACCATTATACTTGGACGATGCCGCGCGTTTGGCGAATGAGGAGCGAGGACGGCGAGGTACGACATAACGGGAAAACGAAAGCAATGATTATGGGAGGGCGGTTTTGTCATATTGTCTGGTTTGCTATTTTTTTTTTCTTTCTCGATATTATTATTAATTTTATTATCATTATTTATTTAATTTTTTTTTTTGATTTTTAAAATTTTATGATCGAGTCCTGTTGTGTTAGTACCGTCTGGCCGGGGCGCTGCTGATTGGGAATCCCTTGTCGTCGTAAAGTCCGGCGTCGGCGGCGGCGTTCTTGTAAGCCAATTCGTTGGCGCGGACCAACGCTTCTGGGAGCGGCGGCGGAGTCGGCAAATGGGCGCCCTTGGCGACGAAACCGTTTTCGGCATCGGCGAGGTACTCAACTTGGTAGACGACACCGTCGGGTCCGGTGTAATAGTAGTATCCTTGAGCCACTTGGCCTTCCTGTTCGGTGTTCGGGTTCTTCAAGTATCCCGACTCGCCGGCGCTGATACCGTTTGCGGTCTCGAAACTGCGAAAACAAACAATATTACATTATTGATCTCAGATAAGACGGCTCGAACAATTAAAATAACACCAAACAATGATATCCGCTGTACTGCGGCATCTTCCCGGTAGCAGTCTTATATTTTTTTTACGAATTAACAATTCACTCAGCTGAGGTCGACCATTCTTTATTCTCTCCCAATTGACACCGTATATTTATTTCACTCGAGCGAAGTCCACCGTTTTCTATTACAGCGTGTTTTGCTATTCTTACAAGACAAAACTGTGACGTTCGCAAATTCAGAGATAGCCATTGTAAATATTGTTTTGTAAAACATAAAGGTGAAGCAAAAAAATATCATTTTCGCATACGTAAACATGCAGTATGATTTACGCACACCGTCTTGTCTCAAAACTTCACAGACTTTTTTTTTTGTAACTAGGTATCTCGTTTAATTATGTTCGCTTTTTATACTTAAGTACAATTTGACACAATTCGATAAAAAATAAATGCATCATCTCACCGGTAACTGTACGATCCATCGGGGTTGGGTCCTTCTTGGGATTGGCTGAGGATCGGGATCGGGGTGGTGGTCGGACCGGTGGGCGCGTAGTACTGGGGCGCACCGAACACAACGCAGGCCGAAGCCAAAACTAATAAGGCGGTCTGCAATAAAACGGTAAAGACAAGTGGATTAGTTAATTAAGTTAATAAATATCGCATCTTGTAGTTAAGAAAAACCAAACAGCGTAAGTTTTAAAGCACACAAACGATTTGGGTAGAAAATAAAACCGGTAATACTGTTATACCGATGTGAAGAGTATTATATTTTATGTAATGTTTATTCTAGTCGAATCCGATTTTTAGAAGTATAAGACAGCGGTAACTTTTTATCGAAACTAATTGTGTAGTCTTGTAGGCTGGAAAACTTAATTTTGCACTCAGTATTATAAAAGAAGCAAGAGCCATTGTCCAAAGGTTAAGTTGCAGCGAACACAAACGCATAATATCGTTAACATTCGACGACGAGCAACAAGCAAATAGCGAACTTTGAAGAACTTTAGGACATTATATAAATTATAATGACCGACAAACTCAAACGTCTTTACTATCATAACCTAACCGAAACTAAAACCAAACGTAAAATTGGATAAAAAAAATTCAGCGAACTTACAGAACAGAACATATTGTAGATGTTGTTGGTTTGTGGCGTGCTGTGGCTCGTGTTGTCGGATGTAAAGTGAACTATTGACGTACGAACTCGAAATACATATAATTTGTCGGTAAGCCGTTGCATATACTGTTAAATACTCGGCCCCCCCACCCCGGGATTAGACGTTCGCCGATTGTGTATCGCACTCGATCCGGAATGCGATTTCTGACTGACCCGGGGGGGAAAAAGGGGAGGCGAAAACAAAAAAAAGTAGTATACACATACCTACGGCGGTATCCCCTTCGAATCCGTGTCGCGATCGTGTTCCCCTCCTCCACTTTGGGTTGGGGTGTGTGTGTGAGATAATCTATAACGGCGACTTGTCCAGAGAGCAAAGACCAAAAGTATATTGCGGTCGGACGAGGAGGATGATGACGATGATGATGATGATCGTCATTATCAAGACGATAAAGCAGAAAAGTAACAGGAGGACCCGATGACCTTTAAAATCATAACCCGAGCGTGGGCCGCGCGGCCAAGTTACACAACCGTATTATGACGGATGAAGATGACCGGTCATCCTCCTCTGCCGTAAGTTGCCGCCACAGTCGATGATGCACCGATAGATAGTTAACGTCCGGGCCGTTGTTGTTTGACGGCGTCGGCGTTGTTCGAACGCCTTGGCCAAATGAAAAGTTATAGACGGGCACGATTTTTTAGGACAAGGAGAGTGTTGTCTGCAGTCCAATAATAATGTTATGTGCGTTTGTGTGAAACGTGTTGTATATTATTATTATTATTATTATTACTATTACGGTGACGCGTCTCCGCCGACATTTGCATTAAACTAGAGTTTCGATATAGCCACAGTGTCGCCAAGGGTGCAGCTTATTAAATCATAATATGTCAATGTGATAGTTGTGTTTAAAAAGAAATAAAAATACCTAACTGAACGAAAAAAAAACCTAATTCTGTTGCTCGTGTCGCGGATAAAAAATGACATAATAATATGTTACATCGTAGACACAGCACGCATACACGAGTTATAATAGTGAATTAAAAAAATATGTTTGGACTGCACGTTAATAGAAACAAAATAGTTTGAAAGTTCACATAACGCTCTACATCTGGCGAATATTGTCTTAACCCTGTGATAAGTCCTCCAGCGGCAAAATGACGGATATTTGTTCAATATGTATAATTTCTCAAAAAAGGCACTTATCACACCTGTGCACTGTGCCATCTAATAATATAAAATGAAGTATTTGTATTAAGCATGTATTTGATTACACCTGGTTAATGACAAGAAACGATTATGTCTTGTCATATTACAATAACATTTAATGACTCTTGGATATATTTTAAAGTGTTTCTGGTTACATAGTATTTATTATTCAATATGTATTTTATTTCCGAATGAATCATTGTTACTTCTGTTTAACTACCTGTAATAACTAGTTGAACTCCAAACCGTACCGGTAGAATGTTTTTTTAAGTTAGACATTTAGGTAACATGTTTGTCGGTAAAACCGACAATCCAGACATTAAGTTTAAAATGTTTTGAAATTTCTTCTCGTGTAAATAGAAAGTGTGCATTTTCAAGTCAGGACGTGGAGTATCATATTTTTAAATGATAGGTATTTGAAGAACGCTACAATGACTATTTCTTTTCTAAGCTTTACGTCATAATTTACCCAGCCTTTTCGGACGTTAATTTAAAGTATGTAAAATTATTATATATTATACTTCATTTTTAATTATTCTAAACCTTAAGTTTTTGAACTGTGATATGAAAAAGAAATCTTCCCTCTTTTGAAGAAACTTAAAGTTTTACCCTGATTTTTGACCTTGATATCTGATATAATCAATAGTTTTTCAATTTATAACTAATAATCTACACAATAACCAGCTTAATATATGATTTTTTTATAGAATGAGATTCATTTTTTAACATATATATATATATATATATACCTTCTCAGACTCGTTTTATAGAAACTTAAATGACTTCTAATAAATTGGTTATTATTAATCTTTCAATTTACGTATTACTCAAGTTTCGGTGACATGTAAGTATAAAAATAATTAATTTCAATTGCAAAATATTCGATCATCTAGGTGTAAATTACAGATGCTATTCGTATAATAGTTACTATAGGTAGTCTGTAGGTAGTTAATGACTGTAAATAAATACGAATGTGAATATCGTTATAAAAAAAAAAATACACAGCTAGGTACTTCTTTTTACACATTTTATTACTTATATGTTTAGTAATAATTAGCACATTATTTATAATGTATGTTTAAACATAATTGCAATAGCTAATACGCGACATCGAAAAGGAATGCTTAAATGCAATTTTTTTTTTAAATTCATAGAAATAGGTTAGCCTACACATAAGTAAATGTACTTTACAAAAAATAACAAAAAGGTACATCTTAAAACACATTATTTTGACTCTTCGGTAAACGAGAGTAGAGCTTAAAACTAAATTGTATGTGAAATTTAAAAATTGTTGCCAGTATTACATTCATGAACGTGATTTTTTTGTTTAAAATAATTATTTATACTCTATAGTTAGCTTACAATCGATAAGTAAAATTGTCTTGAGTTCTTTAGTTACATTCCACAATAGAATGTGTTGGTCCAAAGACGTTTCAATGAAAAAATAATCGAATATTAAGGGATAAAATGTCAGAGTTGAAAACAGCTTAAGCATACCTCATAGGGCCATCGCTTCCCCTTCGTAGGAAAGAGGTATCCTGAAGGATTCGCCTGTTCGGGATCTATTCATTTTAAGGTGCAAAATGTATCGTAATAATTAACCTTTATACATAATATGTCACAATATAATATAATAAAATAGTCCTTGCAAAAAAATATTATGTATGTTGAATGTTGAGTAAAATTGTTTACTAAGAAGGTGCCGACATTTTATTTAGGACCTGTCGCTGATTTCCTTAGACACGCCACTGGAACGACTTACCATGACTCCCTACAATTGTTAGGTCTTCCTATTTAAATATGTTTTAGGGCTTTTTTATCATCAAGAATATGCAATATGTAATGCGTCCAAGGTCCCCAACACGTTCAATAAACATATTTATATTCATAAACATTCATTTTATAAAATGACAGTTGAAATCAATTTAATATTATAATTATTTTATTGATATATTACATGATAGGCTTTTAGTGTTCCAAAAAACTTACTACATACCTAATTTATTTGAGTTCCTTTAATAGTTTTTTTAAGAGTAGTTTTTGTATTACTGTATAAATATTGTTTGTGAGTTTTTTCAATTTTTACTATATACTCGTAGTATAAAATACACGATGAAAAATCATAGTACAACTATATTTGTATAATTTTATTTGCGCTACAAATATTTTCTCTTAAAATACTTGCAATTTCGTAGTTTTTCTTTTTGATACTTTAGTTGACGTTGTTTTACAATAATCTAATTTTTACCTCTTAATTTTTTCTGGAAATATTTTTGAAAAAAAAATCTACAAAATTGCTATTGGAAGAAAAAATGAGCGTCTAGTCCTTAATGAATCACATGTTACGTGTGTATATATTAAAAAAATATATAAGTTTTGATAAATACCAATGACCTGTAGACCTATTGACTTTTGGAATGTAAACGGTTGGTTTTTTGCTCTGTTATTAACGCTCCAAGTATATTGTAACAAGACGAATGTATTACCATTATAATAATTATAATTTACATTTCACCTAGAATGTAAAAATATAAATATATGCCAACATGACTAATTCGCTTAGTCTTCCAGGTATACGGGGACTGACCGCACGATTTTTATTATCATGTTTCATATACTGTAATATGTTTGCTTATTATGTATGAATACAAGACCACAATAATTATTAAGAAACGGATTGTCGTGGATGATTAGTATTCATATTTCGGTGAAATACATTTATCTTAAATTTATGTTCACATAATGGAAACCATTATACATAATGGAATTTTGTATAAATGTGTTATTTATACAAATTCATCGCCCGGCGTTCCTCGTATACGCACTGTACTCAGTGAATACAATTTAAAGTATTATATTTTATTCGAGGAAATATATAGTTACACAATCTTAAAGAATTTCTAAGCTGATTGCAGTTCACCAGCCCGTTCAAATGCAACTAGAAACGGTTGTGTGGTCAGAATAGGCGACCGTTAAAGTCACCATTACGAACAATTATTTGATTACACACTATATAGTTAAGTTACCGTAGAGTACATTTCAATATTCTAATGGTGTTTTTCGTTTATGCGTATGAATGAATATTGCTTTTCTTGCCAGGTGTGTGACTAATATTATGATAACACCGTTATAAATGTTACCCTTGTGCAACAGGCATCGATGATTTTAAAACCTTGAAATCATTAAATTAAATATACTTTTAAGGTTTTTTTTTAGAAGAAAACCGGCACATTTTTAAGGAGGTATAGCAAATTAAAAATCTTGTTATAAATCAAATTCTTATTTAGTAGTTAATATTTATTTTTAACTTATTTTAAATCTTTGACTTTATTTTATCTAGCTCCTCTTCTTCTTCTTCTCATTCGCCTACATCTTCACTATTTGGAGTCAGCCACCCTTGATCTAAACCTCCACTCAACATGATCTCCCACATCATCTTAACATGCTACCAGCAGTCTTCATATTATTCTCAATCGCATCTAACAACCTTTTTTAGGCCTTCCTCTTATAAAAATTATACATCAAGAACTAATCGATGTTTGATTAGGGTTTTTGGCTTCGATGAGAAGCTGAAAGGTAGAGATTTTATATTAAAGTGTTATTTTCAAGTAGGCATATTTTATTGCTTCTACTTAGGGTACAAACATTTCAAATGTATTACATTAGACGTTGTATATAGATATACGGTATAAGCGAGTTTTTAGCTGAATCTAATTTAATATACAAGTTATATTGCAATAAACTAATACAATACTTAAGTTTAACACTTTTTCTGATGGTTATATTTACAAAATATATTTTCTTATTTTTCGGAACAAAGCAAAATGTATTTTCATTTTCCAATATTTTTTTCCTATAAATAGCACCTTTCTTTCAAACTAGCTGTGCTGTTACTAACTTTAACTTTTTAGTGATTTATTATTATTATTTTT